TGCTGACATGTATAAGCTCATCGCATGAGAAATATCAGAGATGAAAAATATGTTTCTCTTCCATGCCCAGGCCTGTTTGTATGTTGCCCGCCTGCCTAAGATGATACTTCTGTATTCCAGAAATACAAGCTGACACACATTTTGATCTATTTAAAAATATATGCAATATGGAGTCTCTGTATGTATGTTTTCACCTAGACTTCATCCCATTAAAATGCTCATTTAAATCACATTATATAATGACTTTCTATTGTAATAATTATATATGGTATGATAAATTACACAATATTATCTTAGTTTAGTAACACTTTCAATAAAATACCAAAGGTACATCTGATTATTTTTATACAGTCATTTATACATAGATATCCAAAGGGCTTTTTAAAGGTATATAAGTACTGATATCATTACAATATGGTTTATTATAACACCATAGTACTGATGGGTTACACTTCTGGTGTAGACACAGGCTATGCCAACAGGAGTTTTCCTACCCCCAGAGTTAAATCAAGTTCCCTTAACAACAGAGTAATACCTTTCTCTGCCAACAGTGCTATATCCCCAGCAGGGTTTTTTGCTGGCAGAGCTTTAATGACTCTGGGGTGTGATCATTTCATGCCCCTAGCCAACATAGATCAGCCAGCAGGCTTTGTAGTATAAATCCAAACAACTCTGTAAGGCTTGAGTGTTGTAATGCAGTCTGGATTTTCTCACTCAGCAGAGGGGTTAACTCAACTGTCGTAGTTTACTCTGCACTTAAGATGTAGATTGATGAAATGATGCACCAGAGGTGTCACAGAAGTCTAAGACAGACATGTAAAGATCCCTGGATAATTGAAAACTCATCCTCTGTTTTCTTCTGTACAGGATAAAACTTGATAGCCTGCATTTCCCTCTTTTCTTCTTTCCTTCTTTCTAGCTCCTCTTAAAACACTTTTCAGATGATAGCAAATTTATTTAATAGCCTGGCTCTGGGCTGAGAATTTGCTTAAAGCTCAAGTATATCTCTAGCATGGTATTGTGGGAAATACAGTTTTTAGTGTTATTTCAGGGGTTCTCAAACTTTGTGATGAGGAGTTCGCGTGGGGCAGCCTCTGTCGCCATCCACCACTCTGCGCCATTGCCGTGCGCCGCTTCCCCGCGCCAGTGCGCATACCCCCTAGGAAGTTTGCAGCCCCCTTTAAGTTGCTCGCGACCCCCACAGGAGGTTGCGACCCACAGTTTGAAAACCCCTGTGTTATTTGTTAGTGCATCACTGTTCATAGTTCTCAGAAATGTAACCTACTGGCATTTGTATTTCTTTTAAAAAATCTAGTTGTTTTTTCATAAAGAATGACGTATAAATGTTCACAGAATTGTAGGTGAGGATGATGGAGGAAAACTCTTTACTCCCGAGGAATATGAGGAGTATAAAAGAAAAGTGTTACCAATCCGGTTACAGAATAGATTGTATGTGAGCTGGCGATCACCAACTGGGATGGACTGTAAGCTAGTGGGCCCAGAGACACTGTGCTTTTGTACCCATAGGTAAGTTGTTTGAGGTTTTTTCCCTGCCATTTTTTTAAGTTGAGGAATGTAAATCATTTAAGGATAACATTTTAGTGCATTACAGATAACTTGAAAGCCTAGGAATTAAAAAAAATGAAGTAATCTAATGACTTGTCACAACAATGTTGCAACTTAAGGAAAAAAATTGACATCAATTAAAGTATTCTATAAGCTTCCATACATTATGAGTTTGGACACATAACACAACTACTATGGAATACTTTACTCTGGATTTACTCCAGTAAATTTATTCTGTAATAAGGAGTGTACGAGTGACTTTTTCTTCCTAGGTCAGGGGTGGGCAGTTATTTAGGCCAAAGGGCCACATAGGGAGTTTTAGGGAGCTGTGGTGGGCCAGGTCAGCACCCCCCTCTCCCACACAACAGCTTACTTAATCTCCAAATGTGGAATGGGGCTGCGGGCAGGCAGGGAGTTGGTATGGATGCTGATGGCAGCAGTGGCAGGGAGGAACTGGGGGCTGTGCCTGAGGCTCAGGCTCTGCCTGGGTCCTGGCCAATCTCCATGGGGCTGGGACCAGCTTCAGGGGCAGCCAAAAGGAGGTGCTGCTGGTGGGAAATGGAGTCTGGCCACAAAGCCGCCCCAGCCCTGGGATGTACCACAGGCTTGATGGTGCCTGGGCCATGTGGTACCAAAGAACCAGCTGTGGGCTGGACAAAGTCCTTCCATGGGCTGGATCTGGCTTGTGGGCTGTATTTTGCCCACTCCTGTCCTAGGTACTGCCTGCAATAGGTGTTATTATAGTACATGGCCACTAGATGGTGAGGGTGCTGGTTTACCTTAATCCAGGGGTGTCAAACACATCTGGCCCCAAGCCAGATGAGGGTTGCTGGTCTGATCTGCAGGCTGGACTTGAACCGACCCTCTGAGCAGTATGCCTGGCCATTCCAGCCCCAGATGCCGCATGCAGCACATACTGGGCCAGCAATTTGCT